AATCAAGGCAGCTTTCCAGCCTCAGGTTGCTCCTCTCAGTGATGGGGGAAGTGGAAGACCATCATGGGGTTATTATAAGGGTGAGTGGGGTCCTCCATGGAAAGTTTTTTCAGGGACCCCAGCCCTGGGGAAAGGTCTGCTGACAGACTATGGTCATCATTCTCTTACCTTTGAGGAAGATTCTGCCTCATCCTGCACTTCTTAGATGTTTTCCTATTTATTTATTTTTTTTCATCTCAATTGTAATCCCCACGGGTTTCCCATCACCAAATGGTTTTCCTATTTGAAAAGAAAATTTGAACTTCTATTTGGGTAAGGAAGAAGACAGAGCCAAGAGTATCCATGGATGAAGAGGGACAGGGGGTCTACAATAGGGTTTTTGACTTGCTTGGGTATCTTTGATGGGGTGGTGTGACTCTTCCATTTGTCAAATATATTAGAAGGTTTAGTGGGTACAGGCACATCTCTAGATATTGAATTTTTTTAAAGATTTATTTATTTTATGAAAATAATAGCTGGGGTACAGGCTAGAGGTGAGGTGGATGATAAAATTCACCAGAGACAGGGTAGGGAGCAGAACAGGTGGATCTACTGAAATACTCTGCTGAGTGGAGCAGCAGGAGAGACAGGAAAGGTCTGCCACGCCATGTGGGTCCCCTCCCTGCCTGGGGATCAAACTTGTGCTGGGGTGATTGCGGACAGTCACATAGTACAGCACTTAAACCCATTGTTCACCAGAGAGGGCCCCTAGGTATTGAACTTAATCCAACACACAAGGCAAATAAAAATTCTGACCCTCAGGCTTCCATTTGAGCCTGGAATCAGCCACTCATTGGGCATCACCACAGGGAGTGTCCACGGCACAGCCCTCTCCTGGTCCCCATTCTCCCACAGTGTGATGAGGATGGTGGGCCCTGGGTCAACTGAAAATGTGAAAAGACTTTGACTTGAAAGGAAGGACTCCCTTCTCCAATGAGTAGAAAGTACAGAAGTGGGGTATGCAGAGGGGCTGGCAGGAGCCTCTATCACATATATCTCATGACTCCTGATGTTGTAGAAGTCTGAGGGTCTCTCCAGGAAATGATGAGCTGCGGGTGGCTGTGGGGCTTTGGGGGACTTAGGTGTACCCAAAGGCTAGGCAGCTCTTAATAGAATCCATAGCCATCACTTCCCCATTCTTGCCCTCTTCCGCCCCCATCCTGAGACCATGACAGAGGGTGTGGAGAGCATGCTGCTCACACATCTGGCTCAATCTTCCAGTGGTGCTCAGTGAGGCTCGGGGGCAGTGAACGCCACCCTGTGGGAGATAATGGCAGTGGGACACATCCAAGAAGCACCTAAGGAGAGGGGCAGTATGTAGATGTAGAAAGGAACATCTGAGGTATTGGAAGGGACCATCGACGCCTGGGCAGGAGAGAGTGCACTTGTTGCATGTTGTGAGAAATTCACAGAACACCTGCTGTGTGCCAGCAAGTGCAGTGTGTAGAGCACACTGCCTTCTCGTACTTGTTTTTCAATGGCGAGGTGACAGGTGAAAACAGAGAAATATGTAAGGCTGGAGGAAGGGGTAGGTGATCAGAATAGTGACCAAAGACTCTTACTTCAGAAGGGTTTCTCAAGCTGGAGCCTCTGCCAGGACAGTCAGACTGGAGCTGGGAATGCAGGAGAGCTGCTTTCAGCAGGGCAAGAAAGGAAAGACCAGGCCTGTGACTCTCCAGCCCACCCAGCTACCCTCTCTTCCGTACTGGTACCTGGCTGGATGAGTACTCTGAAGATTTTTTTCAACCCCCCAAATTTCCCTGTCTGAAGATACTGTTGGCTTATGTGCAGTTAAACATGGCTGGTTCAGATTGGGAGCACCATGCCCTCTTTCTTTTTGCATAGGGGGAGCATCTGGAGTCCACAGAGACAGTTTGAAGGCGAGGAGCATTGAGGGAGGGTGCTGTGAGTGTGTGGGGCCTGTGCCCACAGAGCAGGGCACCCAGAGGCTGGAATTGAGCCAGGAGCAATGTGTAGGTTCTGACTACTTCGCCCACGGGCTGCCTAGCAGAAGACCTCCTTCCTCTACTGTAGCCTACAAGATTCCCTTAAAATAAAATTCAATGCTTTATTATTCAAATGTCTTAATTGACTTTAAATACAATCACAAAGTGTACCACCTCCAAAAGGTTTGAGTTTCAAATATTTTCATCAAAGAGTACCCTGGACCTTTCATGAATCACCCCTCATTCTTCTCACCCTGGCTCCTGGTACCCACAAATCTTCCTGAGGTCTGTATGGACTCAAAGTGCTCCTTAGTGATTACTGTACGGTGCTGCAGGAGTTTGATCCAGGTGACTTTTGAACTGCAATAGTAAGACCAACAAGAGGGCTTTTCAAACATATCAGATGCCCATGGAAAATAAGAGGACAGAGCCTCAGGCTGGACTTTGTAGCTGAGCGAAGCTTTGAATTATCCTGGGGATACTTCTACCTGTGACTGCTGTTGCACTCCTGTGCCAACCTCTAGTGCTAGTACTCCTTACCTTCAGTTTCCCTGTGGGAGGGAGCTCTTCCTCAGTCTTACACCCCATGGGAAGGAGGGAAGAGACCTCTTATCCATAAAATGCGGGCGTGGGGTGGGGGCTGCCCCATGATCTGAGGCTGTGAAAGAATCATGGTCTGTGGCTTCTCTTTTCTCTTCCCAGGATGGAGCCCCCATGCAGAGACCATAGGTCCTCATTGGGAGGCTGATGGGCAAGGGGATTCCCATGGTTCCCAGGGGTCTGCTTGGCCATGAGACATTTGGGCATCCAAGAAAGGACAGGGTCTGAGGTCTTGGACACAGTTCTGGACAGATGCAACAAGTTTGAACCCTGCTCCTCTCTAAAGTGGAGGGAATTTTGGGAGAAAAGCTATCAGGCTCCTCATTTTGGACAGATCATGTATTTGTAACAGAATATGACCTGAAGCTGTCCCTGTACCAGGTGGTATGATTCCAAGTTCTAGTTGATACTTTACTTCTCCATTTCTTTGTAGAAATGCCTTCCATAAGGGATCAAGGGCAAAAATAATAACAATAAATAAAAAAAATTAATGGGCAACTATAGACATTCTGCAGGGGGAGGGGAGGGAGAAGGATCAAAACAGAGGAGGGGAGAGCACAAGGGACTATGATGATTGTGGGTAGGGGGTGAATTGGTGGGGGAATTCTATGGGGATTACACCTGAGAGGAGAAAGCAAACACTATAGAAAAATGAACAATGATGTAAAATATATATAAATAAATTGTATTAAAAAATAAGACCAGGCCCTCCCAGGTTGTGCAACGGGTTAAAACACAGCACTGTGAAGCTAGCTGTAGCTACTTCAGTACAAGTTCAATCCCTGGCCAGGGAGTTGACCCACATGGTGCAGCAGACTTCTCCTGTCCTTTCTTGCCTGCTACTCCCCTCAGCAGTGTACTTTGTCCATCTGCCTGTTCTGCTCCCTACTCTGTCTCTGGTAAATCCTCTCACTGCCCCTGCACCTCTGGACTGTTCTCCAGTTATGTATGCATAAATAAATAAAATATGATCAAGAAAAACCACAGAGAAAGTGATGAAATTTGAGTACCTGTTAATTCAGCTTCAGTGTCAAAGAATATTTAAGTTTAGCTTAATAATAAAGAACATTCCAAGAGTCAAAGAAAAATAAAAGAAATGCCTTCCATTATTATGCACCAACCTCTAGGCCCAGTCAGACTGAAGCTTGCTCCCATAGAACACTAGGTCTTTTCTAAATACAAAAGCAGTAATAATGACTGCATATTTTTTCATATTTGGGCCTGTATAACTTAAAAACCAGTGCACAAAGTGACAACAACAATAAGATAAAAACGAAGTAGGGCGGCAGTCATTTTTGTGGTTGGATATGGTTTTCACAATCACCGAAGTACCCACAATGCTCACACAGTCCTGACAGGCTTCTGTTCCCAGAGGGAGTCAGGAGGCCTCAGGAGGGCTTCTGGCCTAGATGATCACTAGTCCTGTCACTGGCAAAAGTTTCTTTGATTTTCAAGTTTCTCATGGCCAAGATAGAGATGGCAATGGCTCAGTCAGAGGGCTATGAAACTGGGAATCATTTGAGATAATGTGAAGTTAGTAGAGTTCTTGGAACATGTAAAGTACAATATTGGAAAGTTTTTTTTTTTTTTTCCTTAATCACTATTCGTGAGTCACTAATGATGCCCAGTGATGTTTTCCTTCTGACCCTTCAACCCGCATGTCTGCTTTTTTCTGAGCGGTCCCTGAAGGTAGGTTGTCTCTAATGCCTTCTGGATTTCCAGCTGCCCACACCAAGTAGGTGTTCCCTAGAACTGGTAGGAGAAATAGGACGGGACCAACAGGAGGGCCGGGACTACAGACCTGAAACATGGAACACTTAGCTTCACTTCCCAGGCAACCTCCCATCTTTAGTTAGATTCAGGCTCCTGGTTAGTGCAAGCCCAGAACCAACTTGCGGACACTCTCAGGGTAACTACTGTGTGCAGTGTGTACGCTCATTTATTTCTGTCTTTTTTGAGGATGAGCAAGCTAGCCAGGCAGAGGACCACCGACCCACTGACATGAGGTCCGTCAGGTCAGCAGGTGCCTGTAGTTTTCGGAAGCAATGAGTGCTGTGACTCCAGGGGAGACGCGGAGTAAATGTGTTACTGTTGGCTTCTGCCTCCTACCAAGAAGGTTGCGAGGCCGCTGTCTCCAGTGCCTCAGGACCGGACTCCCGAGAGCAAGGCATCCACCGATCTGCGACCCTGAAGCCTGCTTCCAGTGAGGCAGACCCGGCTCGCGCATGCGGGCGAGGAGGTGCGGGGGAGTGGGTGGGAGGAAATTTCCTGGGGCGGGGCTTAGATGAAGGGGCGGGGCTCTGGGTGGACGCACCTCTCAGAAGCCGCTGGCGTTCACGTTCAGCCAATCAGGAGTGTTTCCATGGGGCTGTCCCAAAGCCGTCTCTCCGCGGATCTTTCTTCTGCCTCTCGGTTTCCCGTCGGCTAGTTGAGTCTACGGAAGGAGCATTTCCGTTTCCGGCGGTGTCCACGCGGGCCTGAGGAGTTGCAGTTGTGAACCCGGTAACGACCACTGACTGGGGCAGGCGGCCGCGGTGGGCGTCTCGTGGGTTGGGGCTCTGGGAACATTGGGGCTCTGGGCGCGCGCGGTTGTCTTCCCCCGGGCCTTCCGGACAGTCTTTGCTCCCGAGGAGCGCTTCACGTGGACAGACCTCTCGTAGTCGCCGGAGAATTCCTCTGAGGTCGTTGCGGGACTGGCTGAATGAATTCTTGCCGAGAGCCTGGACTGGGAAGGGAGGTGACTGGGAGTGGTGCTTTCATGGCAGGGTAGTTCTAGCCGGTGACTTAGACCGGACCAGATCTGATGGCTCCAGATTTGGGATCCTCTCAAAAGGAGTCATCAGTACAAGTTCGGTACCAAAATGTAGTAGTGAAAGAAATGATGACTGAAGTCACACAGCTCTTTAGCTTGAAAGCATTCCTGGAACCCAGCTCTCCGAAGTCCCAGCACAATTCTTTGACATTATGCTGGTGTATGTAACCTAATGGAAATCTCAAGGTGGATCAATCTTTTGATTGGCTTCCCTTCCCTAGTGAGATTATAACCTAGTCTACAATCATAATGTCTTGAATATCATAGGCAGACATAATTACGGGGTAGAAATTAATTCAGTACCATAATTGATTGAAATGACACCCTAGCCCTCCTTCTGTTTATCCATGCACGATAGCCTGATCCCCCTCCTCTCCCCATTCCACTGTTCTCCAATTTACTGTCTAAGAATTGCTGGGACTCTCAGAAATTATTGTAAGGTTTTCTGCAAATCCAAATCTTCAGATGTTACCCCAAACCGATCCTATCTCACGTGAATATATATTACTGCTTTTTAAATGTGTACAGGTGATTATTAGAATTTACTAGTGTTAACAGGATCAACACATACTGAAAGTGAAACTGATGTGCTGTTGAAGGGTTATTAACATGCCTTTAATTTTAAAATGTGAAACTAGACCACTTCATTAACCCAATTTAATTTTTAGATTTAACTGTTCAGTATGGTAAGCACTAATAACATATGGTTATTTAATTTAGAATTGAAGTAATTAAAATTGAAGTTTAAAATTTGATTTCTCAGTTTCTCTAGGTACATTTTTAGTTCATAGTAGCCACTGTGGCTAATGAACTATGGTAATGAAAAGTATAGTTGTAGACTATTCTATTATGGTAATGAAAAGTATAGTTGTAGACTATTCTATTTTGAAGAAATGGATCATATGTAGACCTGAAAGTGGGCTTTAACCAAGCAGAGACTACTAGTTTACAGCATAACAGAGCAGCAAAGTGAAATTGGGAATACTATTAAGAAGTTCCTATCCCAGTTAATTGAACAAATACATATTTATTTCCTTGAGGTGTTGACTGTATTATAAAATGCTTTCCCCTACCTCCACTCCATTCAATGTAGGTTAAAGTTTGTGAATCAGTTAAAAAGACACTATGGAGACTAAGGACCAGAAGAAACATAGAAAGAAAAACAGTGGACCTAAAGCTGAAAAGAAAAAGAAACGGCACCTGCAGAATCTCCAACTTGGAGATGAGGAAGATGCCCGGAAAAGAAACCCCAAAGCTTTTGCAGTCCAGTCTGCTGTGCGGATGGCTCGATCCTTTCACAGGTACATTTACCTGGAGTCTAGTAGTTCTTCCACTAGAAGGTTTATTTTTTTAAACCTTGGGAAACTTTGCAGATGATGTGTAGAATCACAAGTCTAGTCTAGTTTTGAAGGGCATGGGAGTGGGTGCCATGAGAATCCTCTACTAAACCGTGAGAGTCTTGCCTGCTGAAACTATCTTGTCTCCAAGATCAGTAACTGACATTTTTGCCCAGGAAAAAAGCTCACAAATAGTTTCTCTTTAGCAAATATGTTCATAGCCTTTAAACAATTTCTGTAATCGTAGGCATACTTGTGTTTTATTTTTTTCTGGATGTTTCATATACTTGTAATATGAATAATTAAATGGTTTTATTTAATGAACCTTTAGTATGTGACAATCTGTGTGCTTTAAAACATGATTGAATTAAATTCTCCTAGAAGGTAAGCCAAATTTAACCCCAAAACTTCTGTCCATATTCACTATGATACATTGCTTCTGTTTGCCTTTTGTTTCTTTTTAAAATATTATAATCTTCTGAGAAAGCAATGAGAAAATGTCTGTATAGTTTTTACCATTCTAAGCTGATAAGTCAGTCTGTTAGGTATTTATTGAATTGCAGTTACTGGGTTGAGATCAAGTTAACAAGTTCATTTTATTCCATAACATTGTGTATTCTGCTCTCTTTAAAATATTTATTTGTAAAGATGATGCATTTTATTTTTTGAAAATGAATTTTTTTTTTTTATTTAACTGTTTAGGACTCAGGATTTGAAGACAAAAAAACATCATATTCCAGTGGTTGATCGAATGCCACTAGAGCCCCCACCAATAGTGGTGGTGGTTATGGGACCTCCAAAAGTTGGAAAAAGTACTTTGATCCAGTGCCTCATTCGGAACTTCACCAGGCAGAAGCTGACAGAAATCAGAGGCCCTGTAACAATTGTATCAGGTAGGAAGTTGCTATTGTAAAAGACATTACAGGTGTTATCTTCTTGGTGAGTGCATGTCTTTATTGAACATTGTTTAACACTGATCAGTGTTAAAGTAACACTATCACTTCATATTTCCCCTGTGCTTTTACTGAGTTAACTATAGCTTCAGAAAAGGATAGATTCCCAGGGTTTATACTGATGGATGTCTACCTTATTCTGAATCCTCTATGGATTTGCAAAATATGCTCCTCTGCAAGGCGCAGCTGTGTGATGAGCACCTTCATTTAACAGAGGGTATCTACTGTGCTCCAGGCATACCTGCTTACCCTTATGAAGCCACAATCTTATGGATATGAGGAGTTTGCCTCCTTTCCTGTGAGAACTTGTCTTCTCCGGGATATGGTGACCTTTGTGGGTTTGAGGGAAGATGAAAAAAATTCCCAAAGTAGCATTGGTAGAATCAGAAATCTCTTATAGCAGTCATACAGTTGGATTGAGACGTTTCTTTATTTTAAAGACATTCCTATCATCTTGCCTGATAATTCTTTAACCTTAATTTGGAAATGACTGTTCCATGAGCATTGTGCTATATTTGGTTTGAAAATGTTTTTATGTCAAGTGGTACACAGGACACTTTATTTGAAGCATTGGCCCCTCTGCTGAACAACAGGATCATCTTGGTCGTGAAACCTACTGCCCAATCCAACCCATATTTTATCTGTTTAAGTACTTTATTCATACGGGTAAGCTTTTAAGTCATTTTAAAGTTAGAAAATTTTATAGTAAGAAAGCTAAGATGGAATTTATCTGTTTTCACCATAAAAATGAACTTCTGAAATACTTGTATAATTGCTTTAGGGAATGCAATTAAGAATCAGAATTAATTTACTTTTACAAGATTTTTTTAAAAGCAAAATTTTCATCCATTCTCTTACAGGTAAAAAGCGCAGACTCACCTTTATTGAATGTGGGTGTGACATTAACATGATGATAGATCTAGCTAAAGTAGCAGATTTGGTAAGTCGTGGGGACAAAGTAGGGGTTTTTTTTTGCATTTATTTATGCATACAGAACTGGGGTGTAGGCCAGAGGTGCAGGGGTGGTGAGAAACTTCACCAGAGACAGTGGGGAGTAGAACAGGCAGATGGACAAAGTACACTGCTGAGGGGAGCAGCGGGTGGGTCAGGAGAGGTCTGCTGCACCATGTGGGTCACCTCCCAGGCAGGCGAGAAGTGATTTCAGCTTCTTAGTGCAGTGCTTTAACCCGCTGCGCCACCAGGGAGGGCCCAAGAGGTAAGTAGTTTTTATCTCCAGTTTACAGATCAAGTTGAGGTTTTAGGGATTAAGTGGTGGTGTCAGAACCTCCATTCTTTTTTTTTTCTTTTAGATCCTCCATTATCATTAATCATTGAAGTAAATACATGAGTTGCCCTTGAGATGTTGCTCTTGATGATGGAAATAGTATTTAGCATATGGAAATAGTGTGGTTTCAATTGCATTTAGAGAAATTGGGGTATTTATTCCTTTTAAATTAGCAAAACTAAAGCCAAAAAGAAAGACAATTTTAAGCTATACTGAGTAGGAGTGTGGAGTCAAGTATTAATTTTTTTTCAAAGATTTACTTATTTATGCATACAGAACTGGGTACATTTATTTATGAGTACAGAGAGGTGCAGGGGGTAAGAGGGTTCACCAGAGACAGAGTGGAGAGAAGAACAAGCAGATACACTAAAATACACTGCTAAGGGTAGCAGCAGATGGGTTAGGAGAGGTCTGCCACACCATGTGGGTTACCTCCCTGGCTGGGGATCGAACTCATGTTGCAGTGGCTGTGCTAGCTTCATAGTGCTGCCTTTAACCCATTGTACCACAATAGATGCTCTGGAGTCAAGTATCAGTTACCTGTTTGTTTTGATTCAGCATTCTGGAGAGCTATAATATACTACCATTGAAAATGAGTATTTTTTAAAAAAAGATTTATTTATTTATTTATACATATAAGAACAGGGGTATAGGACAGAGGTATGGGTTGGTGGGAGGATTCACCAGCTATAGAGTAGGGAGCAGAACAGGCAGATCCACTAGAATGCAGTGGACATGATAGGAGAGGTCTGCTGCTCCATGGGGGTCACCTCCATGGCTGGGATCTAACTCATGCTACAGTGGCTGTGGATAGCCTCATAATGCTGTACTTTAATCCCTTGTGCCACAAAAACACAAGGTATAATAAGTTTATACTACTGTGGGTTGACAGAAACATATTTTTTGGGTTGACAATAAAATAAACCTTTTTTTTTGTGTGTGTGAAATGAATGTTTTTTGAAAAAGCTTATGGTCAACCCAAAAATATGTTTTTGTCAACCCACAGTATTCCTTGTGTTTCTGAAGTTATTGAATCAGGTCAGTGTATGAATCAATATTTTTTTTTGTGTGTATAAAATATACTAAGTGCCTGTTTTATATGTAAATGAACTTATGTGTCTATGGTCTAATAAAATTTCAGTTACAAAACAGGTGATAGGCAGAATTTGATTCCTGGGCTATAGTTTGCTAACAGTCTGTTTTGGATAGTTTTCTTGAGAGATTGTGTCTTCCCTTTTTTAAGGTTCTGATGCTCATAGATGCCAGTTTTGGATTTGAGATGGAAACATTTGAATTTCTGAACATCTGCCAAGTACATGGTTTTCCGAAAATTATGGGTGTTCTTACTCATCTGGATTCTTTCAAGTACAGTAAGCAACTGAAGAAGACAAAGAAACGTTTAAAACACAGGTTCTGGACAGAAGTCTACCCGGTAGGAAGAGACTTAATTATTGAATAGTGTTGCTATAATCCTTTAAAAATAGAGCGAATATGAGAGATTAGTAAAAATCTCTTTGGGACTTAAACTTCTGAGTTCCCTTTATCTACTGTTCCTATCCTTGGAATAGATCCCCTAGAACCAGCAGTATCTAGTTTAACTCCTTTAGATTTTAGACTAGAGCACATCTGAAGTTGATCCTATTTACCAGGATCGGGAGTGGTAGTACACTTACAGTCTCACTCCTGCCCTCCATACGACGTTGGCCCATCTGTCACAATTTTTTTCTGCCCACTTCATGCAGTACTCTGGACAAATGTCATTGCTTGCCAGGGAGCAACTTGAAACTAAATGTTTTAGCCATTCTGCCCTTGTGAAGCCCTAAAAGATCAGTACTGAAAGAAGATGGAAATTCTGAAGCATTGGCATTGTGGTTTGCTAGGGGTCTCTCTGTCGTAGGATGGTTTCTTATTTAGAGACCTTTATTTTGGTACAGTGTGGATAAGGTTTAACTGAAATTTATTTTATTTTCACTGTTCAGGGAGCCAAGCTCTTCTACCTTTCTGGAATGGTACATGGAGAATATCAAAACCAAGAAATTCACAATCTGGGCCGTTTTATTACTGTTATGAAGTTTAGGCCTCTTACATGGCAAACCTCTCACCCATATATCCTGGCAGACAGGTAAAACGTGAAAGTAGACTGTTTTTTCCTGACTCATAGTTTGAAAAAAGATTAGGAAAAAACAATAATAATGAATTTATTTTGTGCTTACTTTTGAATGGTTGAGGAGAAAATAGTTTTTTTTTTACATTAAAATTGTGGTTGTGGGAATAGATAGGTTACAATAGTATGAGAGTTTTGAACCATTTAAGGCTATAGGATGTAGCCACATCCTGCTTTCTTTCCCTTCTGCTTTTTTAGTATTATCTTCTAAGCCTGGAAGAATACCCT